TCCTGGACGAAAGGATATCTTTTATCCAAGGAATCTCCCACATGATAAGCAATCCTCCATCGAGAATCTGTTATCTTGACAATCTGTTTGATCAAAATCAAAGTCGGTTCGATCTCAAAAGCTTTTGCTCGCTGAATTGATCTCTCCATTTTCATAAATTAAACAAAACGATACGTAATTGCCTAGAGCATGAACAAATCCGCAAGATAAAAAGAACATCTCGCCTTCTTAAATCCTTTTTCGATTATTCACTCACTTAGTGAGGATTAATTCAAAGGATCCCGATAATGTCGTTGACAAGAGTAAACGATAATATAAGTAAAATGCAAATTGCATTTATGCATTCACCTCTAATGTTTACCAGATAGGTAGTAATAAATTACATCGTGAATAATGAATAGAATAGAGTTGTTGATGAATGTGATGTAGTAATATTCGATTAATATAATAATATTGTTGGGTCAAAGGATCTCATTTATCTCTGTGTATATGATTGGGTTTTGGACAGATATTGCAGCTGAATTGAGCAGATAGGTAGAATAAATGATGCTCAGATATATAGAATTCATTGACCGGTATCATTGATCAACGGTCACTCTGATACTTTCCATCATCGGTTACTTCATTTCTCTTCAAATTTTTAATAATATTCTTATTATAATTTCCAATATTTTTGTCACCATTTTCATTACTCTTCTTTTAGTATTGAAATTATCATTGTTAATTGTTTGAAAATAATATTTAAATATCAGTACTGGACGTTGTAGTATTCATGTAATATCGATATGTTCAAATCATATTTGTGCAGTAGAAAAATTCAAAGGAAACTCCAAAACGCATTCGTTATCAATATTCCGTAAGGAAATTTAGCAGTTATCCAAAGTTATTAGCGTGGTAAATGAATTTATAAGATTCCTGTAAGTATAGCGTATGTTGATCAACTGATATTTTTGTGATTTCCTTATTTCAACTTGACCATCATGAAGTGTTTTTACATCATTGCTTATTCTCTCGATTCCAACTTTGCTTATTCAGATTAATTTCCTTTTTTCGCAGTTACTTGCTTTTTTCCAGTCCTAAATTTTTTTTGGAACCTTCTAAGCTAAATGAGCCTCTGTCATATTTACTGAATCGAGAAAACCTTACCAGTACATTGCCAAAACTATTACTACATATCGATGGGGAACTGAATTAAATTCGAGTCTCATGAACTTTCGTCGGCTCATTTCATGAAACAATGCATTCGCATCACTGAAATGAGTTCCACAGCTAATTTTCGTACCACTCGAAGCCACGAACCAACAAGTCAATTTCATTTACGGCTATTTGAGTGTTTATGAAATGATATGCTCAGTGGAAATAGCAGTCGACAAATGAAAACCGACACTGCAGCAAAACGTTACGCCATCGGACAATTTCATCTGACAATCGTGAAGCGCAGATGAAGATCTTTGTACACTATCGTTTAGTCATTTAGTATCAGATATCAATTTCACGAAACGAATAAAATTTCAAATCGTTTTGGATTTTCGTTGAATCGCCAGTGAAATTTGATCCGTTTGATCTGAAGTCTATAGCCCTCTTACGATGGTAGTATTACCAGGTGAAAAGTGTTGCCAGGTAGTTGATAGTTTTGAATTTGTTGCTTTAAAGCCGACTTAAGTGATACTTACTTTCAAATGATCCACTGAAATTAGTTCACCTGCGTTAGTGTAAAAACTGTTTCGCCTTCTTTCTCGTATTTCGAATCTTCGAATTCATTTAGGGATAATATTATTATTGCTATGAAATCGCAGTCCGTATCGGGTGGATCGTAAGCCTTTTCATTATGGCTTATTGTTATCATCATCGTATTCATCTCAACGCGTAACCATAACGACGCGTTTGACGCACTTCATTTGCCCAATCATAATTGTTCCCATTACCGAATTCAGTTGTTCTCTGCTTAATATTTTTTGAAATACAAACCAAGAATGAAATGAAATTCATTTGTTGTCTGTTGATGAACCGGTAATCTTCAAATACAGGTAGTCTTCAAATTTCGAAATCTCAAATGTTTCGGCAAATCTCGAAACTGAGCAAAAAATTCTTCCAGCTTCTAAAATCTACCCTAAATGTTGCTTTGATCTTGCGATCAACAAGCAACGTTGATCCATCCAAAATGTTTTGATCCTTAGTGTTACAACAGTTTCACCTTTCAATACCAAATGATAAACCATCATAGCAGTTGCTGCAATTAATTATCGAGTTTGCATTATCATTCCACTGATACTCCAATTAATCATTATTGTGATAGCCCATATTACATTCGCTATCTTATCCGCAGTGTTGATAACCTTTAGTCCACCACTTCTTTAAAATTAATTGGAGTCAATCTTAACCATTGCACAGTGTCGTCCGGAAGCTCATAAATTCAGTGACATTTCTGTAGTAAACGAAATGGAATTGTGTGTAAATACCGTTGGAAGCGAACTAAATTTCCTCATGAATGCACTGCCAGAATCAAATTCTTTTCAAAATGAAGTTTAAAATGAAGGAATTCCATTTCAGAGAAGAGGTCAGCATGAACGGCATAAGAGGATCACCTACGATGGGTCCGTCACGCAGGATATCGCCTAAGTTCAGCGCGAACGTTTGCAGACCAAACGCTGTGGACTCGAACAAATTTTCAATTTCCTTGAAGTAGTCTTATTTGAATACTCAGAATCAATTCCCATCGGACTTGTCCATTGTAAAACTGCTAAGATTTGCTATTCCAGCAGCCTGGTAGTGTTATGAAGCTAGCTCTTACAGGTCCGATAGAGTATTCGAGGAGAATTGCTGAATACTGCGCAGTTTTTTCATCACCATTGGATATTTTTCCAATGTAGTGATTATTCTCTTATCGATATTTATGACTGCATATCAAATGATAAAGGAAATAAAGGAATCATAACCATCACTTGAAAATATTGTTTGCTCGGCAAAATTTACAAATTTAAAACTGAAGATGCGATTACATCTAGATCTCCAGAGAGATTCTTCAGAATCTGCAAAAGGATTTACATCTTTTTCCAGTACATGGATTGTAATTTTCAGGCCACATTCGAGTGGCTACGTTCCCAAGGGACAACATCGACTTTCCGTACCAGATCTTGCCGAATTAGCCTATGGCAAGATGGGTGCTACGAACGCAATGATGGCCCATGGTGGTGTTGCTTCTAGCGCAAAGGCACTCACCTCTAAATTGGGTCGTAGTCCTGGAACTGGCGAATTGCAGGTGCAAACTTTTTTTTGGAGAAACTCAGAAATCTAACTATTTTAACTGTCTCATCATCATGTTACACGTATATTCCCCACTTGTTATATTCAAGTGATTCGATTTCTAAAATTTACATTCTGTCCTACATCCTGAAGTTTCTTTCGAAGCACTTCTTATTCAGATTACGTTGGATTTGTGTGAATTCCGTGAAATTGCTTGCGTTCATGTAATTTGATTATTCATGACAAAAAGATAATTTTGATCATCTGCAGTAAATCATTTGACTTTTACCATGTATCTATACAACAGCCATGAACCTTGAAATCATGCAACCATGAATTTGCTTTTTATCATTTTTCTAAAAACATTTATAGGCAATTACCGAAGGCTTGGTGACACCTGTTGTTCGCCGTAAGCAGTATTTGCGCGAAATACCCGTCCAGGTTACCACGTCGCCCAACCAACCCGTCTCACCGTCCCAATCGGCCAAGAGGTCATTCATTCCTTGTGAGAGAAGTGGGAAAAATGTCAATCAGATCACTAAAGACAGCGGTGTCGGCACGACTGTTCTCAACGAGCATGGATTCACGAAGAGGTTGGTTAAATAATAAGTATTTCGATGTCTATGTCTAAATTTTGCCCTTATTCCGATGAATCTTACCTTTACATTGCAATTGCGAATCGTGAATGTCGTCAATACTCTCGTAAATGCACTCGAAGTCTCTTTCTTACATCTCTGGGAAGACTTATCAT